CAGGTCAGGACCCTTCTTCAGAAATTTCTGAAGAAGGGTCCTGACCCGAAGTGTCATCTTTCCTGCTCCTCTGATGCTGCTTGTCCTGCTGTGTTCCTCCAGCTCCACACTCTGTTATTTCTGACTCCAGCATCGGCAGTTTTTACTATTTCTGAGGAAGTTAGCAAAACTGTTTTACTTAGACAGTGGTTAGCATGTAAAATTCTCCTCCAGAAACTGTCACTGAGGTAGAATGTACAAATTATCTGAAGGGAATAATATAGCTCTATGTAAAAGAAATCCATGGACAATGCATGGCTCAGCAATATTCAAATATTATTCAAAGCCTTTTCATCTTTCACTCAGCGGGACAATACACGAGACATGCCTTCTTTAAAGTTTAAACTAGGCAAATTGATTCTGGTTGGTCAAGGAAATGCCCTGAGAAATTAACCAGTGAATAACAGTCATCTATTTCAGTTGCATTGAAATCTGGCTCTGTGTGTGTGTGTACATGTTTTTCATGTCTGTAATGAACAGGGCTCCTATACTCAAATATGTAGTTTCTATGACAATAAATCCCCAATAAAAACAACAATTTATATTCATAGCCCTACTTCGTTGACTATATAAGCACTTGGACCTGTCAATCTAAGTGAACTGAGAGGTACCCCGCTGTGATATCTTGTTGTGTAATCAGTCTTGCAGCACATACCCTATAATGACAGCTCTGAGGCTTGTGTCAACAGACAAAATGAAATCGTAAGCATTGATTTTTGTTTTGAAAATTGCATTTTTTTTTAAAAAGGCCAACTGATTTAACTGCCTTTACAGCTTAACAGCTCCAATGAATTTATCCAAATTTAATACAATTTCATGTGACTTTTAACAAACTCTCAAAATGCTTTGGACCCATCCCAGGTAGCTTACCTGTTCAAACAGGTAGTCATAGTCTACCATTCCAAAGAACTTTGTTAAATTTAGATATTAGAAGTGTGAAGCTCACAGTTCATTCTTAGAACATCCCACCAGTGCATGTTGGATATGACTGAAGGCTACTTTGAATTGGGCAAATGGCCTAATTCTGCTCCTATATCTTACAGTCTTAAAGGCTACAGGGAGAAGGCAGAAAGATATCAACCAAAATTTTATGATGGAGCACACTCGATGGTCCGAATGGACTAATTCTGCTCTTTAAGGTCTTATGCTCTATTGCACTTTTTCCTGTGCAGTTGAATCCGTGAACCATGAATGTACAGAGCACCCAGTTCCATCCTGGTGAAAATAGTGGGTGCTGATTCAGGTCTCCTGTGCCATTTTGGATAAGCTGGAGATCCTCTCCACTATTACAAAAATTGGGGCTAGAATTTCAGTCTGTGTCTCGCTACAGGGGCAAAAGGAAATCACCAGTTCATAGACGTAAACATACGTGCTCTACAATGAATACAGAGGAACTCTGGTGGCACAGTGTTAGTGTCCCTGCCTCTCAGCCAGGAGACCTGGACTCATGTCCCACCTGCTCCAGAGCTCTGTGATAATACCTCTAAACAGGTTGATTTGAGAATGTTTAGAATGAATACTGGTGATTAACAGTGTAGAATACATTGAAGTAGAAGGTCATAGATACAAAATAAACTCACAAAGAGGTGGGAAATACAAATTTGGCAAGTAAGAATGTTAAGGAACAGAGGACTTGCCAAACAATTGGGCTTACGTGTCATAACACTATCTGTGACCCACTCGCTTTTTGACTGAGAATGTGAGATTAAAGGAATTACAACCTTAAAGATGAGAAATCAGGATTAAAATGACGTAGTGCTGACAAGATGGTGTGGTAAACTCAATAGGCTGAGTGGTTCTCCTATTCTTTGTGCGCCTTCTACAAATAAATGGTGCCAATTTAGTACCAAATATTGGAGGTAGCGGCACTGGCTGAAGTGCTGAGGCTACCTTGAAGGGCAGCACTATCCAATCAAAAGCAATTTTCAATGAAGGTATGTACTTTGGGTGTCAAGAGAAAGAATTTGTGTATTAGCCTATGATACAGTTGAAATATGACCATAGTACATTTTAAATATTGCATGGGAGTTATACAGGAAGCAATATTCTCTAATACTATTCACTAATCTTGTTTGCTGATAAATTCAAATAAGATTAACTGGCTGTTACAGTGGCATCCAATCTGGGTAGAAAATAGGAAAAAATCCAAATATCAAAACATAATACGTTCTTTCAACAGTAGATGCAGACAGTTAGCTAGCACATTAACCTCAAAAGGAAATATCAAATTTGGTCTTTCCCCAAAATCATTGCCAGCCAAGCATGATGTTCAGTGACCCTGGGTGCTGTGTTAAGAACATACTGAGTGATGTTCTTAATGTAGAATATTTAGGGTCACAATAACCTACATACCTGTAGCGATATGATAGATATTTCTTCAGCGCAAGATTAACACTGCCTGTAAGGAGCCATTGAGTAGGTCTTTAGTCTCTAGAATTTAGAAGTCATCTCTTTTAAACATAAGATTCTGGAACAGCTTAACAAGGTGTATGCTGGGATAATGTTTCTCCGGGTCAGGGAGATAAGAACAAGGGTGCGCAGTCTCAGATTAAAAGATGACCATCTAGAATTGAATGGAGGAGAACCTCTTGATACTGCTCTGAATCTTTGGAATCCCTTCCATAGAGAGCTGTGAATGTTCAGCTGGTAAGTCTATTCAATACAGAGTATGATAAATGATACTATGTTAAGGAAGTCAAGTACTATAGGGATAATGCTGGAAGGTGAAGTTCAGACTTATACCGGCTAGGAATTTATTGAATGGTGGAGCAGGCACCAGGGAACTAAGAGACCTAATCCTACAGCTACCAATTAAAGGACTGATAATAATATAACACCTCACTGGGATAGTGTGCTGGAAAGTCAAGGCCCACTATTCCCAGAATCATCACAAATGTTAAAGAATTCATAAAAGTACACAGAATTCTCCCATTTTCCTGTACTTTAGGCCCAGATTATCAGAAAGCACAGACCAAGTTTCTTGACAATGATTATTAATTATTACAAATATATAGATTCTAGCAACAGGTAAACAATTGTGAACCATTGACATAACGACAAGCTAAAGCTCTAATTTTCCCATAAAATTCACTCTCCACACACATACAGATAGACACCAAAAAAAAGAAGGTGCTATGGGCAGAGGAAAATACTCACAAGGCTGTTCAATAGTCCCTGACTCTGGACACAGGAATATCCAGTCCTTTCAAAACTAAAACAGCCGGTCGTGATGGGGAAACCAAAGGGCCATCGCAACTAGATTTGAAATATTTTCGGACCTGGAGAGATCAGCTCACAGTAGAGGACGGCATATTGTTATGGGGAGTGAGAGCGATTGTCCCGAGCAACGTTTGCTATCAAATACAGTCTGAACTCCACCAGGGCCATCCATGGTCTCCAAAATGAAGATGCTGGCAGGAAATTACGCCTGGTGGCCAGACTCGGATACAGCCAGAGCCGTGTTGGTGCGGCAGTGCCCCGGAGTGACAACAAGGAGAAAAGTTACCACCTGCAGCTCCCCCACATCCGTGGGAATGGCCAGGTAAACCTTGGATTCGGTTGCGTGTCAGTTATGCAGGTCCCTTCATGGGTTCAACATTCTTAGTCACTGTGGACATCCACTCAAAGTGGCTGGACGTGCATAAAGTTCATTCGTGACACACGGGAACGACGAGAGAAAAACTGCGAGCATCTTTCTCAACACACGGACTCCCGGAAGTTCTGGTCACAGACAATGGGCCATTGTTTACCCAGAGAGAATTTGGTTATTTCTTAAAGTTGAGTTGGATTCGATATACAAGGACAGCGCCATACCATCCCTCATCCAATGGTCTTGCAGGACGAGCAGTCCAAATATTGGAGGCTGGCTTGAAGAAACAGCCTACAGCCTTCCTGGATACCAAGCTGTCATGGTTCTTATTTAATTACAGGACCACCCGACATGCAACTACAGAGTTAGCACCACCAAAGTTGCCAATGGGAAGAATAGTCCACACCAGGTTAAGTCTGATCTTCCGGGATCTTGGGGGTGGGGTGGAGGACGATATCAGGAATGCAAAACGCCAGGCACAAGACTCCGCCAAGTAAGAGAGACGATTTGAAAGATGGGACAAAGTTTGGTATACGAATCACAGAAATAGCCCCGCATGGGTAAGAGGCATGGTTGACGCAAGGTCAGGACCAGTGAAATATGAAATTTGGGTTGGTGTGACTGTTCTGAATAAGCATGTGGACCATATGAAAGCTGCAAATTCACAAAAAGGTACAGTAACAAAACTTGCCCTACCCCTTGGAGCAGCCGGAAATCTCGCCAGAACCTGTGGACTCATTCTCTCCATTAAGCATTGCCGAGTCCTCTGAATCTGAGATGGAAGTAGCTGCCTCGAAGGCTTTGCCACAAGGAAAAGAGATTGAAATTCTACCAAGACCCTCCTAGCGTCAGTGGCCAACTCCCATGTGTTACACACCACCCGCATCGTGCGGAGTCAGAGGAACTTGATCCGGTGCCAAAATGCCGAGGAAGCTCTTCAAGAAAAAGCACCTGGTTACATCCATGGACTCAGACGGTGAGGGATGTAATGATTGTAATGAAGTCAGCCAGGTGGACCTCAGAGAATGTGAGTTCCCTGTTTGAGGATGTTAATTTGATCTAATCAGAGTGCCCTGGGTGATGTAGAGATGCTGACACTCTGGTCCCTAACTCTGAATGAGGCAGTACTAAAGTCATGGACTGTTCATGAGTAAATAGAGGGAGATTTGGTGATGGGATACCGGCCTCTGTAGAGTTATTTCAATTGTGATACCAAGGCTCCGTGTCTCATAATAAAGAAGATACTGATATCATCTCCTCAGGCACACCAACCAAGATTAGAAATCAAACCCAGTGCATTTCTGGCCTTCATTTTGTGATCTGTATGCTACAATTTGCTGTTTGCATCATGTAATGTATAACCCTCATCAGCCTCATGTACAGCCAGAAAGAGTGAGTATAAAAAACTGACCCCGTTCTGTGAAGATCCTACAAGATTGTCTCAGTTAACTCACCTGCAGGAGGATACGATTCAATTGAACTTTATCCTGAGCTAATCCTTCATTTAACGCGCTCATCTTCGCAAGAGTGTCTCGCAGAGCATCTTCTTCGGTCTTCAGCTTGCTTAAGGACAACTCCAAGTCTGCATTAGTCAGCTCAGCCTAAAGGATGAAAGAAAAGGTGCATCAATCAGAAAAACAGTATTAATGGGGGGAAAAAATTGCACAAAAAGCTCTGGAGATTAAATAAAACCATCTACGGCCACAAGAGACAGAAAGAGAATTCAATGTCTTTAAGAAACCCATTGCATGCATTCAAAGAAAAACAATCTTTAGAAAGAATTTTTCTTAAAGATACAGCTGTTACTAGAAAGAATGCATCTGGGTTCTATTAATCGAATGATCCAACATTAGACTGCATCAACAAACGAGTACAAGCACATATAAACTTGCCTTAATACCAGTGGGCCAATACCAAGTAAAACAAACACAATGTCTTGCTAAATTGAAAAATAATTTTAAACAGGAGTTAATCCAATGAATTTAATGGTTTAGAACCCAAATCAATAATACAAATGTCCTGAAGTAAAAATAAATCTTAATGCAGCACTCATAACTCATGCAGACCAGAGACAGCAAGCATTAAGTTAATAATAAAAAAGTAGTGTATAGTCAGCATAGACTTTCAAAGTCTCAGATGCCAGGACTTATAATTAGTTGCTGTTGCCATTGTTTTCCTTGGCTCCCAGAGGTCATTCTTACTTTCTATCAAGGTGATATAAATCCAGATGATTGCAATACTGTGTCATAGCGGTCTTGCATTTGTGCAAGTGTTCGATTTGAGTCTCTGAAAAGTGCTCCCTGTAACTTTACACCCCTCAAAATGTTGGGTCCTCACACTTTATACTGCATGAACATCCCTTTGAAACCCATGATCAGCATTGGGCTAAATAAAAATCAAAAGAACTGCTCTAAATCAAGGACAAAAACAGAAGTTTCTGGAAAAGCTCAGCAGGTCTGGCAGTATCTGTGAAGAAAGAATCAGAGTTAACGTTTCGGGCCTTCTGAGGAAGGGTCACCGTACCCGAAATGTTAACTCTAATTTTTTTCTTCACAGGTGCTGCCAGAATTGCTGAGATTTTCCAGCAACTTCTGTTTTTGTCCCATCAGCATTGGGCTTCTTGCAATCTGTGCAACATACCTTGCTGAGAGCCTCAGCCAAGTCAGCCTTCTCATTCTGTAACACTTCCTTCTCCAATGTAGTTTTGTTCAAGGCTTCTTTAACAATGACCAACTCTTTTCTCAAAGTTGAGTTCTTGCTTTCCATCAGCTCCAATGCCTTCTGCCTGCAATAAGAGAAGCACCTTAATATTCCATAAAATGACTGCTGTTAAGTCATCTTGGTTGTATTTGAAATAATTAACAAATTCACTGAATCATGGAACATGCACCAAGACCCAAATGACCTAACCTTACTGCTATTTCTTAAAGGACAGATAAAATCACAGCTCACTGGGATAGTATGCCCATTGTCTTTCCTCATTCTTCCTGCCATTATATATCACTCTCTTGATTACATTTCATCTGTCATGTCTCTGTTCATCAATCAACCACTCTGGAGATGATCTCCTGAAATCTGTTGCAATCCTCCTCATCGTTTACTACTTTGTAAAGTTTCCTATCATTGGAAAACTTTGAAATCACACTCTGACCTAGCCAGCCCAGGTTATTCACAATACGTCAGAAAGAGTGGCGATTCTAATTTCAACCCCCATGGTCACTTGGAAACACCAATGAAAGTGCCTGTCCAATCTAAAAAAAAATAACCATTGGATCATCTGCCACAGTTCTTTTAATCAATGATGTAGTACTTCATCGTAGTATTTTCAATAGTCCATATGTATAACAGTAAATGCAATGCACTAATCAACTGTTTCCGCTGCTTTAAAGAACTAGGTCACAAATCTCTGCTTACTTTTATGAACTCATACTCTTCAAAAGGGCGATTCATTTAATTCTCAATTATTGTCTATAAAAAATTGCCTGCCACAATTGTTAGATGGAGTAGACTGTAATTGCCTGATTTCTCTCTCTCTCCTCACTTTTTCCATGGGGATGTAACTATTCCAATCCTGCACATCCTGAAACCATCCCCATTTTCTGAAAGATTGGAAAATTGCAGCCAGAACCCACATGATTTTTTGCTTTCTTGTTGCCATATTGCAGGATGTATGTGTCCAAAATGAGTGACATTTCTACTTTGAGGATTATCGACATAATGTACCATCTCTTGATCTATTTTTACCCTATTCAATATCTCTATTGCCTCTTCCTTTATTAATACATTCACAGCATCCTGTTCTCTGGATGCAAAGTCTTCATTTATTATCTACATCATGCCAACTGTCTCCACAAGATGATCTTTCTGGTCCATAATTCTTTCTTTTTTTCTTGGGCTACTACTTAATTATTCAACTATTTGTAAATTACTTTTGGCCCCTCTTATGTTTATTACTAATCTATTCCCAAACTCTGACATGTAGTCCCTCTCATTTCCTGTTTCACATACCTTCTGTACTTTTTCAATTCTGCTTGATTCTCTCTAATGAATCTTACAATTGTTATAAACTTGCTTTGTGTACCCATTTTAATCTTTAAATCTTTAGGTATGATTTCTTTCCCTCTCTGCACAAAAACAATTTGCTTTTTTGAAGTTTTCATAACAAACTGTAATATTATTTTCTGTGTCTACTGGGTGCTGTATTCAGTGCGACATTGCTGGTCACAGAAGGCCCTCAATATAGAGATGGATCCTGCAGACTCCCATTCCAGAGCGGTGAGGCACAGACAAGACTGCAGAAGAGAGAGAGGCATCCAAAACAGATCTCCCCATGGACTGCAATGATCCTGGACTTCTGAATAACCATATATCAGCCACAGGGGCAAAGTCAAAAGGACATCTTCCCATTCCCTAAATCCCAGCTTTGCTTGTTCGCAGAAGGAAAAACCAACAAAATTGGCAACTAGGACATACCAGTTTTTACACTGTAAACAGAGGCTCCGTACATGACTTGGTGGGTAGCACTGCTGCCTCACAGTGCCAGAGACCTGTAGTCGATTCCAACTTTGGGTGATTGTCTGTGTGGAGTTTGCACATTCTCCCCGTGTCTGCATGGGTTTCTTCCGAGTGCTCTGGTTTCTTCCCAAAATCCAAAGATGTGCAGGTAAGTTGGTTTGGCTATGGTAAGTTGCTCTGTACAGTGCAAGCTAAGCAGATCAGTCATGACAAATGTGGGGATAGGGTGGAGAGGTGGGTTTGGGTGGGATACTCTGAGGGTCAGTGCAGACTTGATGAGCCAAATGGCCTCTTTCCAAACTGCAGGGATTCTGTGATTCTACATTCATTTCCAAGTATTAATTTTTCTTATAACATATTTTTCCCTCTGGGGTTAAAGTTAAAGGAGCAGAATGGTTAACATTGCCATCGATATTAATTTGCTAACGTGATTGCTTACCCTCTCTCAACTTCTTTCTTGGCTTGCTCTTTGTCTTTGTGTAACTCCTCTTTCTCATCTTCCAGGTGAGCTCGCTGGCGTTGCAAGTCACCATTCATTGTTTTTATTTGCTCCACATCCATCTGCAAGTTATCGATTTGTTGGTTCAGAGAATGTACCAACTTCTCCAAGTTACCTTTCTCACTAGAGGGAGTGGAGTCAGGAATAGGGTGGAGGGAGATGGGGGAGGGATGCAGGATGGAAAAGAACCTTTTGAATGTATCTCATCAACAGCTTGGTTGCACGTGATTCATAATTATAAACAGCAAATAACTGTCACAGCAATAGCACCTACAAGCAACTACAATGGTACAGATTTCAAATCAATGCAGATATCTGGTACTTGAAATGATTGAGTACTATCAACAAGCTAAGCAAGGAAGACTCAAGAAATATTGATTTCTTAAGAGCTAATGACTGACTTAACTTCAACTTTACAGCTAGAAATTAACAGGATGGAATTACTCAATTTACTGACCTATAATCTATGTGAACACTTAGATTGTTAATTATATTTTTCTACAGTGTTCTAAAATTTTAAAACAGAAGATTATAGGTTCAAATCTTATTCTGAGAACTAAGCACATAATCTAGGCTGATATTTCAGTGTGAAGATTTTTAAAGGTATAATGAGCAGTCACATTTAACGTGGTGGAGATGTGAATATTAGGTATTGTAATTCTTCCTTTTCTGTCAGTATTATGTGTCAATGTTTCCATTGAAAATTATGCAAAGACGACCAAAGAAAGTCTAGTGATGGTTTTATGAATTTAAATCCTTTATAAACAAGTTCAAGAGCTTTGCTGCTGGATAAAGTTCTAGATGTCGATAAACTTATTTGGCAAAGGTGTAGCACAGCTGAAATGAATCCTCTTTTTATGTGGTCTTCGACCTAAAACATTAACTCTCTTCCTCTCTACAAACACCACCTGAGATTGCTGAGCATTTCCAACATTTCCTGTTGACATCTTCTGTAGTGATATAGGCATGTATCAGAACTCCCAGGTTCCATTCAGAAGCAATTAATAGGCCTGCTGGTCCAGGGCATGCAGTTCTGAGCATAACATTCTTTTTTACTTCATAACAAGTGCAGGTTTACCAGTGAGAGATTGTACCTACGATTTCTTAAGGAAACCTGCTTTAAAGTGAGAAATAAGATGCATGGTAAGGACCTGTAAACCCTGGGCTGTTTTGTTGCAGTTACTAATCAATGGGAGTAGTCTATAAGAAAAATTGGATCTTTAAAGAATTGCTTTAAAAATAAAAAAAAAATTGGATCGAATGTGAGCCAAAACACAACAGTCTTACTAGGTGTTCTTCCACCCACTTCCATCTCTACAAAGAGGCTTTGAGTTTCCAACTGGCAGAAATCCACACAGCAACATTTTTTTTCCTGACCAACACACGTGCACTCACATGAATAAACTCTACAGTCTCAAAGCTATTGGGAAATGTGTTTCTTAATTTTATTTGGATGTACAGAATGGCATTCTCTGTTCAAACACATTTCCAATTAACTCGCAGGGCAGCTGCGAGAAAATTGACTCAAATTCAGAGATCATCTTTGGCTGGCAGCCGTGGCTTAGTGGGTAGCACTGAGTCAGAAGGTAGTGTGTCCAAGTTCCACTTCAGACACTCGAGTGCAAAAAATCTAGGCAGACACAGCCCTGCCATACCGAGGGACTTCGAGATTGGTATGGGGAGGGAGTGGGGATGGGGGGGGGGGAACTCCATATTTTTTGAAGCGATTTTAAAACAAGGCCACATCTACTTTCTCAGATGGACATAAAATATTCCGCACCACTTTAAGAAGAGAGGTGAAGCTATTCTCCACCTCCCACCATCATATTTGTCCCTCAATTCAACATGACCCAAACAAATGTGTGACCTTACTGTGTGCAAATGGGCACCATGTCACTCACATTACCACTGCGACTACACTTCAAAAAAAAGTACTTCATTGGCCCTACAGTGCTTGGGATGTTTTGAAGTACTGAAGTCCATTGTATTTACCCCATCAGAACCGGAGGTAGGATTGTTTGGGATTGACTGTTCTGTGGCATCCTGCAACTTCTCTGTGGGTTAGCTTAGGCATCAGGCGGTCGCCTGGAAAACTGCGAAAATGTCGCTGGCTCTCTTGAAGTGGAGATGAGGAAATTAATCAGGAAGATTGTGAACTTTGAGAGCAGCCTGTGTGAGAAGGATGGAATGGGTTAACGGCAAATCAGTATCATCTCACTGAAGTTGTGGGGAACAAGAAACCCCTGCACTCTGCTTATAGAATTGTGGTTTATCACTGAGTCATTTCTGCCAAAGGTAAGACTCAGATTCAGTCTGTTATACTTGTCCCATGATTTGCATTTGATAAAAGCTCTGTAGCTCTGACATATCGTCTGACAAAAGGCACCAAGTGGCCAGGATTCCACAAGCCCCTTGTGGAAAAATTCCACGAGGCTGTCAATGTGATCCAACTGCTGGGAGTCCATTTTCCCAGCGTGTGAAATGGAGAGGCTGTTTGCTCCAAGATGGGGGGGCAGCTAATTTGCACAGAGAAGGGCCCCAATTAGAGACCATTTTATATCACTGCTGTTGGCAAATCTTATTACATTGGTGGGTGGGTGAGAGAATACCAGCTGAATGGAGGTGGCCATCCAGGAGCAGGTTGGGATTGCCAGATCCAAAAAGGGTCTGCATGCAGGGACAGTGGGCTTCTGGATCGCCAACCACCTTGCCAGTGGGTTTTCCAAATGACACTTGACCTAAGGTTTTTTTTTGTTCGTTTGTTTTACTGGCCTGGCCCAGATCCTGAGACCTCCTGCTCATCTTAACAGGGGAGGACCTCTCCCGGCAAGAAGAAGGCTAAGACTTGAATGAGCAAACAACAAGGAAAGACAACGCCACCAGGCCGAGATTAGAGAGAGTGTCGACCACATTGTTGCCCACTGCCTGCTCTATTTAGCAGGAGGTCTGTCCACGTAACATGGTTGACCCACATTATTGGCAAAATTTCGACGGTGTCACCTAATTAGGCCTCTTTATTTGGAAATTAGCCTCCCAACTCCTTGAGGCAAGCAGCTTCTCCATTTCTGGATCCACAGCAAGAAAAGTGTCCCCCGATCCCAGCAGCAGAATCATGCTGCCAGCCAACTGGCACAGCATCTCGTGGTTTTATCTGTACTGAGCCTACCCACTGCCACCTGCCATCGACTGGTAAAATCCTGGCCAATCTGTGTGCTTGTAAGATAATGTTTCCCACCAAGTGCAAATCCCACCAAGTGCAAATTCTAGGACAATAATAACTGAATCTAAAATGTGCATCAGTAAATAAAAGACAATTTTGCAAGTAAACAGATTCCAGCGACTTGGCGTTAGCATGATGTTTTGCACATTTCAGTGAGATGTTATCTGTTCTACCATAAATTCATTCTCTCTCTCTCTCTCTCAGGTTGCTTTCAGTCTTAAGATTTTGTGATTAACAAGTACAGACTCAGCAGCCACTGAATTCAGGGTACACGGACCCTCAAAATTCAGACCAGTAAGTACACTGCTTGCATATATATATAGTGACGCCAGGGAAAGGATGAAACCCAGATTCAGTCAGCTCACTTTAATTATATCTTGAAACTAGAGAAACATCTTTAACACACGGTGGCACAACCTCAGAACATCCTGCCTTCTCCAGAGGTATGCCAAGTCCCACCTTCCAATGATTTCCAGGGAGGATCGATAGCGCGCTGAATCCCTCTTGGCATCATCCCTGGCTCGGCCTAAAGACTCCGATTCATCTTTCAGCTTCATCATCTTCTGCTCGAGTTGCCTCCGCTCACTCTCACTCTCCCCCAGCTGCTTCTTCAAAGAACTGACTGCATCCTGAACGGTGTCCAATTTTCCACAAAACTCCTGAAAAAGAAATGGCTGCACTTTACTCATGACAAACTGACTCAATGCACTAACTTTCCTCTGGCACAACCAGTTGTACCACATTAAACACCCAGGGCTAAGCTAGAATTCCTCACCATCTGGAAATCCTTTTTAAAAGCCATGCACGTGCAAGAAAGAATGACCAACATTCACAAATTTCTACCTTGATTAATTCTATTCACTATTGCTTTTGAGGGAGTAATTGAGTTTAAAAACAAAAATGAATTGACTTGACGGAACTGCAAGTCCTGTTTGTTGGAAAAGGCACGGTGGACTGTGATTGACCATTTCCCACACTACGATGGGACAGTGTATAGGAAACATTAGTTTGCATCCAACTTATATTGTGTATCACAACCCAATAACACTCAAGAGGCTCAATACCATGTAGGACAAAGGAGCCCACCGGATCAGCACCCCACCCACTGTCTTAATAACTCTCTTCCTCCACTTCACATAATGGCATCACTGTCTACCATCAAATCAGATACACTGCAAGAACTCACCATGAATCCTCCACCAGCACCATCCAAACCCATGACCTAACGTGCAGAAGGATAAGAGCAGCAGACGGGTGGGTGAATCTCCGAACGATGTGCGATTTGGAGCTGAAACTTTATAGGTCATTCGCAGACTGTTGCTGGGTCAAAATCCTGGTCCTCTTGTCCTAACAGCACTGTGGGTGGCCCTCCATAATACAGACTAAAACAGTTGCAGGCAGCAACTCCCCATCACCTTCTCAAGAACAGTTAGGGATCAACAATAAATTCCCAGTCAAAACATCCACATTCCATGAATAAATCATTTTAAAAAGTAGCGAATCTATGAGTCTCTGATCAGGCAATGCAAAGGGACCTTTATTCTTTATTGGTTTTAATCTTATCCACCTGGTGGAAACTGCGATGTTGGGCAGTGAAAACCGAAACGCTTGCTTATCTGCTGAGACCTTAGCCATTCTCCATAGCAACTGGTTGTGTTTGCAGGTGAGGCAGTTGCTTAAATTTATGAAAATTAGACTCTGATTATGTGATTGGGGCCACAACGCATTGAGAGTCTGAGTGGAGAAGTTGCATGGTTTTCCTTTCAGGAGCAGGTAGTCTGTGGACAACATGGACTTCCAGCTAAGTCTAGAACGTTACTGATTTGACTTGATTAGCTGCTCACCATCACCTTCAGGAGAAGTTAAGGATGAGCAGTAGATGCTGGCTGGCCAGTGATGCCCATATCCCATGAATGATGAAAGAAATGACAACCCGTACACTTTACACACTCTGGAGTCCGGAGAGCGACGGTAGAGGTGCCATCTTTCCTGCATCCCGTGGCTGACCAGGAATCTCTCCCGCTCTTGCTGCTCTCCACTGGGAATGATTGGCTGGTTGACACTGCTGGGTTGCATTATGAACACACCTCCCTTGGCCCAGCAACTCCTCGGCTGGAACTCAAATACCCAACTTAAGGCTCAGAGTTGGCGGCGCTGATCACTTCAAAGCGAAACCCTTAATAATTGTGAGGGGGACCCTTCAAAATTTTTGATTTTGTTTTGCTCCAAGAAATGCAGCACACAGTCCCCGTGGGGCTGTTGTTTATTAAATGTATAAAGAGTGCAGCCATGATCAAAGCAACCAGTCCAATAACTCATTCCCCTGTGTGACACGGGCTGACAAGTAAAGGCTAATTGCAATGGCCCGAGACTTATTATACTGCCGGGCTAGATTTCAAGGCAATTGAGGAAATCATTCAACTTTTGGTTTAACCCTTCCCCTACTCCAGCCCAAAGATCGATGCCAGACAGCTTTTTTTTTTAAAATTTGCTGTTTTAGTTTGTGATGTGAAGCTGTTGTACCATTAATGCCTGAATTGCGCATTAGTGCATGGGTTCAGAATGAGCTACAGCTTCAGGACACCCCCACAAAACATTTCTGCGAATTTTGACATCATGAAGGCATTCACTTTGTATGAAGCAGCTTCCCATGAGTACAGTCAATAGCAGCATGAATCTGAGAAGCCTGCAATTTGTATAGCTCTCTTTGTGCAACTCCAGATAATTGCTTCCAAATACCAGAGGAATTGTGAAAGCATTTTATTTAACTCATCACTAATCTAGTGCTGTAGCATCATCGACCTAGCTCTGACCAAAATTGATGTCATATCTCTGGAGATTGATATATTTCTATCTTCCACCAATTTCTAAAGTTCTATTTCTGACTCTGTTTTAAAATCAGGCCATGTTTTCTTGATTGTTTTGCCTGACTAAATTTTCCCAGGAATGTTACAAAAGGTATTTTCCATGGAGGGCAGTGTCATGGAGCTCAATGCTGCCTTTTTACAATCACCACAAACAGACTAGCATATAAACGGAACCCCAGTTGATTGCTTTCTCTCTCTACGTCAGCAACGCAGTGGTTAAAACCAGAACCTGTGATTCTGACTAAATCTTTACTACCTCAGCTAAATTGTAAAGAGTAAGCAGGGCCATGCCATCTTATCACTTGGTCACTCTTTTGCAAGCCTGTCTGATTTCTTATGATTTGAATTTGCTTCCCTTTGGCTGCAAAAAGGGGGAAAACCCAAGGAGAAATCTGCTGTGCGACCTTTGCCAATGATTCTCCAGTTGTGCATCCATGATGACAACTCGGGGTAGCTCTCTCAACAGTACGCTGTCAGTGACCTCTGCTCTACATCTTACATAGGTGCAAAACTCCTTGTGTCCTGTTTGATGCTGAAGTAAATTCTTACTCAACAATGGCAGTTAAAGGGTAACATGGGATCGTGCGGATATTGGACTGAATATGTGTCACACTGAATTCATGCATGATCTACCACTAAATGCCAGCAAAATACTTTTCCAGCTCTATAATCCTGCTTAGCTATTTCTAAATTCAAACCACTCTGCAGAATGAACCATCCAATCAGTTAAGCCATTTTCATCTCATTAAATGCAATGGAGCGGACAACCGAAAACACTTGCCCCCGCCACCCCTCTTAGACTGAAGTTCACAGAATTATTGTGTAATATATGTTTTTATTCTCTCTTCTTATTTCAAAAAAAATGATAAACAAGATTGTTGCACCAGTTAAAAGGTTTCAATGTCTTCCTGGCCTTCACATCTTTGCAACCACAGGTATGTATGTTTGCCTTTGAACTTGTGTGAACAAAATAACAGGTGGGAAGCTGGGAGCGAACTGGAATCTGAACAGTTTATGGATGACAAAACCCACTGCAAAGCTACAATTCTTCTTCCAGCATTATGAACGCCGTTGGAGATAAACTATATTAACTATTTAAATCTGTTCCTGTCCCAACGTATTGCAGAAAGAACTACATTGTTCCAACAGTTACTGGTAAAATACAGGTCTCCTCTCAAATGTCACATCATATTTTTCTTTTGGTGTCAAGTTGAGGTGAGAAATGTAAGGACAAATTGAATATTTTCTGATTTCAGACCTTCAGCACTGGCATCAAGTGCTCTCAGGCGAGGTCCGGCATGTTTCAGATACAAAAGGATACAATTGCAACACTGCTGAATTGAGCCTCTGGACAATCAACTGAGTGAAAGGGCACAATGCAGTCAACTACAGCTTGGAACATGTTAGGACCTAGGGGGAGAGCTGCAACGTTTAAAAATGTTATTGATTGAAAAAAATTATACCTCAAGACTTTGCGTTTAAAACAAAAACCTAGACAAGAGTTAAACAAAGCAAGTACTCCTAATTTAACACTACAGGTTGTAAATACTTATTCTTTAAAGCTGGACATCTCAATAGGATATAGTGTACTTATATTTCCTCAAAGAAATCCCATGTGCTGTGCATGAACTTCATTCACTTCTCCTGGGATTAGCCTTTAGAAATTCACTCTTATCCTCCTCAGTGTTCTTGCTTTTTTCTGAGGCATGAGCATTCTTGGAGTCCTTCCACTAACATCCAATCAGGCTTCCCACTCTCGTTCCTTAAGCACTTCACGATTGTGGACTCCCCAGCTCAGCATGGGCCTCGCTCATGATTGCTGCCTTCTGAAGGCTATGTAACTCTACGTGGCCTTCCTTTCTGCTTACCTGCACCTGGACCTGCCGCCTCTGCAGGGCTGATTGGACTGCAGACAATGTGGAATCACCAAATGACGGCGACATGCTGCGCAGCGGTGACTGGGAACGAGTTGGTGACCTGTGCCTGCGAGGGGAAGGTGTGCTAAGCGCCGGAGACCGTGAAAGGAGAGGTGAGCCAAGCCTTCCAGTAGCCATCTCAGCTCCCTTAGCAGCCCCTCCCAGAGACAGCAAACTCGTCGACTCTGCGTCAGCAACAGCAACCTGGGATGAAAAGGCAGAATAATCAGTGCAAATGCTTACCCATGTTTCAGCGTCTAGACTTTTTGACAATGCTAGGCTGGACTTACTGTTCACCAGGGGAGTGTTGGGACGGGATTGTCAGTCTAATGTCTTGTCTCCTCCCCCCGCTCCACAGTGACACAGCCCAGTCTCACTGGGTCAGGGGTCAATACAGTGGAGGAAGGCTTCCAACATGGTTTTCCACCACAATCAGGAAGCTGGAGGGGCTCGGTCCAGCACTAGGATAAGTGGGAAACCCCTTTTAGGGCTGGTTGGGGTGGGTGAAAGCAAAACATGGAAGCCTCTGCAAACTTCGATTGAAGTTTGTCTAAACGCCTTTCATTCTTCACACACAGCCTACAACCTTCCCCCACCCAATGAATCCCCTTCCAGGAGCCCATTCGCAATCTGTCTTAAACATGGACTTTACGCTGTACCGTGTTGGGTGGGGATAGGGGTGAGTACTTTATAAGTACTGCCAGTTTCACAAGGACCTCGTGTCTCCAATTGTCAACTCTGATATGATTCGATTGATAAGCAAACTTGTTCTCCCAACCCCCTCTTCAGTTCTCACACTGTTGGTCGTTAGCTTGATTCCAACCACCCATTTCTGCAGCACACCTTTCAAATACTGATGAACAGATCCCCTTCAATCATTGACCCTTGCGTTTTTTTGTACCTGAGCAATGTTGTGCAAGGTTTGCTGCAAGGATTCTATCTCAGTTCTTAGAGCTTCATTTGCCAAGGTTTCACTTGTAATTTCAGTTTTGCTCGATTCCTGTGATCAGCAGAATTTGGCAGAATTAGCAACTCACAGGCAAAACAGAAAACCTCTGAAATATTGGAATAGTGACAAACACAACCTCTCCCAAATGTTAATTAAAAATTCCTTGACTAAGACTGACAAGCAACCACATCAGATTATAAAAACTGTGGTGAATTTTAACAACACGCATACCATAGTGAGAACATAGAGAAGCCACCTGTGTTACAGTAATTCAAGGTTCCAAGGCCAGAGGCTTTGCTAGATTCATGAAAGGAAACTTAAAAATATCTGGGAAATATTTGGAAGAGTAGGGTTAACTTCAAAGTGAGAACACAAAAAGGAAAAGCCAACGAGCAGGCCTCATAATTTCCAGTCCCTTCCTCCTCCACTGCCAAGACATGCCACCTTTGGCTGGGATGGCACTTTTAAGGGTACCAGTACCTTTCACTGCTCAAATGGTTTAGTTCAGGCAATTTGTGCCTGCAAGATATTCCATCAAGAAGAGCTTCAATACCAAGCTCAATCCAGTACCCAACACTCAATCACCTCACATACAACTTTCCAGCACAGTCATTAAATGGTATGTCAGGAATAAAAGAATGACTAGAGTAAGATTGGGGCCGGTCAAGGACAGTAGTGGGAAGTTGTGCGTGGAGTCTGAAGAGATAGGAGAGGTGCTAAATGAATATTTTTCGTCAGTATTCACACAGGAAAAAGACAATGTAGTCAAGGAGAATACTGAGATACAGTCTATTAGACTAGACGGGATTGAGGTTCATAAGGAGGAGGTGTTAGCAATTCTGGAAGATGTGAAAATAGATAAGTCCCCTGGGCCGGATGGGATTTATCCTAGGATTCTCTGGGAAGCTAGAGAGGAGATTGCAGAGCCTTTGGCTTTGATCTTTATGTCGTCATTGTCTTCAGGAATAGTGCCAGAAGACTGGAGACTAGCAAATGTTGTCCCCTTGTTCAAGAAGGGGAGTAGAGACAACCCTGGTAATTATAGACCAGTGAGCCTTACTTCGGTTGTGGGTAAAGTGTTGGAAAGGATTATAAGAGATAGGATTTATAATCATCTAGAAAGGAATAATTTGATTAGGGATAGTCAACACGGTTTTGTGAAGGGTAGGTCGTGCCTCACAAACCTTATTGAGTTCTTCAAGAAGGTGACCAAACAGGTGGATGAGGGTAAAGCGGTTGATGTGGTGTATTTGGATTTCAGTAAAGCTTTTGATAAGGTTCCCCATGGTAGGCTATTGCAGAAAATACGGAGGCATGGGATTGAGGGTGATTTAGCGGTTTGGATCAGAAATTGGCTAGCTGTAAGAAGACAGAGGGTGGTGGTTGATGGGAAATGTTCATCCTGGAGTTCAGTTACTAGTGGTGTACCTCAAGGATCTGTTTTGGGGCCACTGCTGTTTGTCATTTTTATAAATGACCTGGATGAGGGCGTAGAAGGATGGGTTAGTAAATTTGCGGATGACACCAAAGTCGGTGGAGTTGTGGATAGTGCGGAAGGATGTTGCAGGTTACAGAGGGACATAGATAAGCTGCAGAGCTGGGCTGAGAGGTGGCAAATGGAGTTTAATGCGGAAAAGTGTGAGGTGATTCACTTTGGAAGGAGTAACAGGAATACAGAGTACTGGGCTAATGGTAAGATTCTTGGTAGTGTGGATGAGCAGAAAGATCTCGGTGTCCATGCGCATAGATCACTGAAAGTTGCCACCCAGGTTGATAGCGTTGTTAAGAAGGCTTACAGTATGTTAGGTTTTATTGGTAGAGGGATTGAGTTTCGGAGCCATGAGGTCATGTTGCAGCTGTACAAACCTCTGGTGCGGCCGCACTTGGAGTATTGCGTACAGTTCTGGTCACTGCATTATAGGAAGGATGTGGAAGCATTGGAAAGGGTGCAGAGGAGATTTACCAGGATGTCGCCTGGTATGGAGGGAAGGTCTTATGAGGAAAGGCTGAGGGTTTTGAGGCTGTTTTCGTTAGAGAGAAGAAGGTTAAGAGGTGACTTGATACAGACATACAAGATGATCAGAGGATTAGATAGGGTGGACAGTGGGAGCCTTTTTCCTCGGATGGTGATGGCTAGCACGAGGGGACATAGCTTTAAACTGAGGGGTGATAGATATAGGACAGATGTCAGAGGTAGGTTCTTTACTCAGAGAGTAGTAAGGGCGTGGAATGCCCTGCCTGCAAAAGTAGTAGACTCGCCCACTTTAAGGGCATTTAAATGGTCATTGGATAAACATATGGATGATAATGGAATAGTTTAGGTTAGATGGGCTTCAGATTGGTTTCACAGGTCGGCGCAACATCGAGGGCCGAAGGGCCTGTACTGCGCTGTAATGTTCTATGTTCTATGTTCTATGTTCTATGGTCAGAAGTAGGAACCATATCTGATTTATTTTTCCTCTTGTCATCCCAATGGACTGGCCTGGATTTTCCTCTTTTGGGTGGGTCACAGAAGTCAGGCAAACTCTCAGATTCATGCGCTACCTTAGGAGAAAGTTCTCCCAAAGACGGGGTCCAAGCCATCAGGTGCAAGTTCCAGCTCGGCCAGTCAATCTGGGAGAGGTTGTGCTACTTCATTCCTCATGCCCCAGATGCCAGCCTTTGTCCCTTACTCACCCACCCACCATAGTTCTTCATTAAGGGGAGTTGATGGCCTAGCGCTATATTGCTGGACTGTTAATCTAGAGTTCTTAATATTCTGGAGACCTGGGATCAAATCCCGCTATGGTTGATGATGGATGATGGAATTTGAATTCAATTTTAAAAATCTGGAATTAAGAGTTTAATGATAACCATGAATTCATTGTGATTGTTTGAAAAAAACCTATCTGGTTCACTAATGTCCTCTAGACAAGGAAACTGCCATCCTTGCTTGGTTTGGCCTATATGTGACTCCAGATTCACAGCAATGTGGTTGACTCATAACTGCCTTCTGGGCAATTAGGGATGGGCACTAAATGCTGGCTAGACAGCAACACCTCATTCCATGAATTAATGAAAAAAAAAGCCCGTATGTCAAGCCACACTCCTCTATCCACTGTCTATGGCCTCTCATTGTCTCTACAGCAGGTCATGACTCTCCACCAAACCCATGATCAGACAAGCCCTACAGGTTATGCAACTAAACCACCTCCACCGCCACCCCCCATGTGCCTATACTAAGTATGACACAACTATGTCCATGAATTTACTATACACCGAACCCATAGAGATCCTAGTAAGTGTAAAAATTGCTTCTAAAAATAAGCATTTATTAATTAATTCATAATTTTCCACTATGTTAAAATAATTCTTTTACTACAGCACATTAAATTTGTCAATCTTTATGATCATTTAAAGCATCAACAGTAGAAACTGAAAGTACTTGAAACTTATTAAACATGTGTAAATAAATATTGTTGGGAGGAGCTCTTGTGGCACAGCGATGTTGTCCCTACCTCCAAGCTACGAGTCACAGGTTCAACTTCCATCTGCTCCGGAGGTGTGTAATTACACCACCGAACAATTGGTTAGAAAATATCTAAACATTGAGAGCAGGGATCCATTGGTGTCAGTCAACCAATGCCTTTCCTGGTGCTCTGATGTTTCAACCAACTAATTCATCCCTGAACCAGATGAGCCCAATTATCTCTGCTAACAAGACTTTAAAAAGGTCTGGATGATTGAAATTTTTCTTTCTCTGCAATATAATAAACGTTTCTCTAATATAGTGGAGAATTATGGAAAGAGGACATTTTTGTTAAAACCTCTTAATACAAATCATATTGTCACTATGGGATTTATTTGCTCTAACCACTGTACACTGGGTCAGTGAATTGTCCTAGTTCGGCATGGACAAATGAGGAGCCACAGGGATCAAAGACACGCATGAACGAATGAGGGGCCATAGTGGTCAAAGACAGGCATAGCCTGGCATTCAGGAATAAGGGAAGGAGATAACCTGGTATGAGAGAATTATGAATACTGGGGTGGGCAGGTAGTCATAGCCTAGCATAGATGCAATGAGAAGAACCTTTTAACCCCTTTCAAAGGTTCCCTCATACAGCTCATGGTTCACGATACTTTGAAGATTCTGTATTCCATGACTCTTTAAAAGGTTGACTAACTCCATGCAAATTGTGGAGGATAATTGAACACATTCTACTTCCGCAATGGATCTGGCCAGGTCAGGACTGTAGGGTGCAGGCTTGCAACCAGCCCTCACCCTTTAAAGAACCTGATGAAAACTGGAAAACCCAGGAATGAGATCAGGATTCCCAGAACTGGAACCCACTCACCACTTTTAAAGATACTCCAGGTCAACCCATCTGAGCAGAAATGCAGGCCTCTAAGACCAATTATGGTGACTGGTTTCCACTGCTGCGTGACACCAATCAGCTAACTACTAATTATGTTCAAGACCAGAATCTTTCAATTTTCATGGCCTATACCCATCAAACACTTCCTGCAGAAGAAATGGGAAAGGAAGGAATCTTGGAAACACTGTTTGAAGGAATGGATCAAGAAACATCCAACATCACAACAGATGAGATGATAATGGAACCACCTGGATTTTACAGAGGAACATTTCATGAGCCTTCGAGGCACCAGGAGCCTTCTTATTCATAGATTCGTACAGCACTGAGAAAGCCCTACAGGCCATCGAGTCTGCACTAGCATAATTACTGCTAAAAGTGCGTAAATCCCAATTTTGTGCATTTGTCCCATACCCTTGAATGTTATGATATTTGAAGTACTCATCCAAATATTTTAAAAAGTTGTAAGTTTTCCAACCTTTTCTGAGGAAGGGTCCCGAACTGAAACGACAACTTTCCTGCTCCTCTGATGCTGCCTGGCCAGCTCCATACTGTGTTATCTCTGACTCCAGCATCTGCAGTTCTTGCTATCTCTGAGGTTTCCAGTCTTTACTACCTTCCCAGGCACTGCATTCCAGATTCCCATCACACGCCGAGTGAAAACATTTCGTCCCAATTCCCCTCTGAATCTTCTGCCCCTTACCCTAAAACTATGCACCCTCATGATTGACCCCTCAACCAGGGGAACAGCTGTTCTCTATTCACCACATCCATACCCCTCATAATCTTTTACACCTCAATCATGACCCCTCTCAGTCTTCTCTGCTCGAAGGAGAACAATCCAAACCTATCTAGTCTCTCCTTCTGTTGGCAGTGTTCCATGTGGACTAATTATCCATTTGAATTAGCATTTAAAAACATTGTCAATGCTGCTTATATAATTAAACACATCTTTGCCCAAACTGATGTAGGTGAGCAAATTATGTTACATGAAACATAGAAATACAGAAAATAGGAACAGGAGCAGGCCATTAAACCTTTCAAGGTCTACTCGTCATTCAATATCAGCATGCCTGATCATCCAACTCAGTACTCTATTCCTGCTTTCCCCCCATTACCTTTGACCCTTTTAGCCCTCAGAACTATAGCTAACTCCATCTTGAAAACATTCAATGTTTTGGACTTAACTACTTCCTGTAGCAGAGAATTCCACAGGTTTACCACTCTCTGGGTGAAGAAACTCATCCTCATCTCAGTAATAAATGACCTACCCCACATCCTTAAACTGTTCTGGACTCCTGGTCATTGGGAACATCCTTCCTGTGTTTACCCTGTTTAATCCTGTTAGAATAAAATAAGGTCCTATGAAATTCACCACCCCCCTGCCCCCAGTTCATCCATCAATCCTGCCATCCTGGGAATCAGTCTGGTAAACCTTTGTTACACTCCCTCCATTGCCTTCCTCAGAAGTCACAGGACACCGGGTTATAGTCCAACAGGGTTATTTGAAATCATACCTTGTGGAGCACTGCTCCTTCGTCAGATGAAGTGAAGGAGCACAGCTCCGAAAGCTTGTGATTTCAAATAAACCTGTTGGACTATAACCTGGTGTCACGTGACTTGTGACTTTGTCCACCCTAGTCCAACACCGGCACCTCCACATCATATCCTTCCTCAAGTGAGGAGACCAAAACTGCATACAATACTCCAAGTGCAGTCTTACCAAGGCCCTGCACAACTGCAGCAAGACATCCCTGCTCCTGTACTGGAATTCTCTCTCTATGAAGGCCAATTATATCATCTGTCTTCTTAAATGCCTGTTGCACTTGCAAGCTTACTTTTAGCGACTGGTGTACAATGATACCCAGGTCTTGTTGCAGCTCCCCCTTTCACAATCTATTGCTATTCAGATAGTAATCTGCCTTTCTGTTTTTGCTGCCAAAGTGGATAACCTCACATTTATCCACATTATATTTCATCTGCTGCATATTTTCCCACTCAGTCAACTTGACTAAATCATACTGAAGCATCTCTAAGTCCTCCTCACAGTTCACCCTGCCATACAGTTTTGTGTCATCTGCAAACTTGGAGAAATTACATTTAGCTCCCTGATCTAAATTATATATTTTGAATAGCAGATATTCCAATACAACTATAAAATTCTTGCGAGTTTTCTAGAAAAGAGATATGCTGCTGAAGCTTTTCATCTTGCATTAGCCGGCATAGAACTGCAGGAATACTAAATCCCAAATATCAAATCATGTTCACTTTGAGATTTGGCATTCTTGTAATGTTGTTCTAAAAAGTACAAAATTAAAAGTATTGACAGTGTGTATCATTTTTTCAGCAAGATATTAGTTTTTTTTTCGATGTCTTACCCAACTAATGGATTCAGTTATACTTTAATAGGTTCCGAATGTTATGCATTTTCCTAAATGTAAGATTCTTTTGAAAGCCATGTGGCAGTAGCACTTGTTACAGAATATTTTTTCTTCATGCCAGGAATATTATTGTGCTTTCCATATTAATCTACAAGGAATCATTAGTGATTTAATCAGGGCAGTGGTGGCTGAAAGGACAGACATCAGGATAGACATCTCTGAGAAATGGCAAGCTCTCTGCTTAGTGACTAGGAAACAGACCAGCTTCTTACATATCATCTATAGTCCCAAAACTGGGTGAGAATAAGTTCTTAATCATTTCTGGACCTACACTGTGGCCTCGTTTGCCTGAATAACTATGGGGATAAAATTGAAGCACTGGGGACTAATGCAAAATGGCGAGTACTGAATTCATTGACTATTGCTTTCTTCTCCTGACTTTAAATGGGTATGAAATTAAAAATGGTGTTTAAAAGGAGGATAACTCAATAGTGTCCATTTGACACTGTCATCCAAGGCTAATGTTGAAACAGGTAATTAAGAAAGACACGGTAACTAGTTGAAATGTTATATTGTTCATTCCTCCTGTCTCCATGGTTTCTCCTGATTCTCCATTGGACCATCTATTTGACCAGAAGTGGTTGACTAACCTGTCAGGCATGTAGTCACCATTTCAGAGTGCCAGCGGTGTGAGCCATTACAGTAAACAGGCTCCCAGAAAAAGACTGAAGGATATCATTTTTCTACAAACTGTGTTCTGCAACAAATGCATCTTGGATTTGGAGTGAATTTCAATCTCCTCTGTAGGTAGCAATACCTTACATTGGTTTGCACATTACCTTTTATGGTGGATATTTCAATATTAATATCAATGCCCTATCCTTTCTTGGAAAGGTGCGGTGCAAAAGCATTTGGGCATCATGTTCAAGAGCTGATTGACCTATTGTTGTTCCAGTCTTGTGCTCCTTTGTTTCGTTCTACCCCATAAGGTCGCATGCTATCCAGAAGATATAGACTTACCAACTTCTCCACAGTCCGCTTGAGCAACATGATTGTCCTCTCCTTCTCAGCATTCTGCATCTTCAGCCTCTCCATGGCAACAGATAACTCATGAATTCTAGGATAAGACCATAGAATATAAATGGTTTCTCAAGTGTCAAATTATAATGCCTTCCTTAACAAGTTCAATCTTCTGTTTTGAAATTGGATCTGCCAAGAAATCTCTGGTGACTGCATTATGATTGGGCATTCCACTAAGTTTATCATTTCTTTTATAGCTTTAATAGGAGATGGAAATTCAGCCCAACATGTCTGTGCCACCTCTTTGAAAGAGCTAACCATTAGTCCCACTGCCCCACCCTTTCCCTAAAATCCTGCAACTCTTTCCACTTCAAGCATTTACCCAGTTGCCTTTTGAAAGTTCCTATTGAATTTGCTTCCAATACCCTTTTCAGGCAGCACATTCCCGTTCAGAAGCAACTCACTGGATTAAAGGAAATCTCTGGGATTTTTTCACCTTTTACCATTAAATCTGTTTCCAATGAACTTCCTGCCAACAGAAATAATTTCTTCTTTTCGCAATTATCAAAACCATTCACAATGAACACCTCTATCAAATCTCCCTTTAACTTTCAGTGCTGTAAGTAGCATCTCTAGCGCCTCCGTGCAACTGAAATCCCCAGGCACCATTCTTTATATCAAAAAACCGAAAGAACAGCAAATGCTGGAAGTCTGAAACAAAAACAGAAGTTGCTGGAAAATCTCAGCTGATCTGGCAGCATGTGTGGACAGAAATCAGAGTTAACGTTTCAGGTCCAGTGACCTTTCTTCAAACTATTCTAGGTCACCTGCTCTGCATTTTTTCCAAGATCCTAAAACTTTTGTTAACTGAGTTGGTTCATTTTTCTTTCTAGTTCAAAGTTGATACATAAATGCAAATTGTTGGGTGTTACAGATAAAAGACCTTTAGGCTTCCAGAATAAATTGAGATGTCGGCTTTCCAGCATCTTCCACAAGAGGGGGTTTTAATATCCAACTGGCTCTGTGAGGTCCTCTTGTGGTATGGATGCAAAGTACTACAGCAGTACAAATTCTGATGGATAATGGTAGCATTCCTGAGTGGTGTGGAATGGAATGAATGAGGGCTGTCAGTTCTTGGAGTAGAATACCCCAAACTCCTTTTGTTGGAGCATTTTGTGTTCTGCACTAAAGGCAGTGGTGAACATCAGCACACCACGCCATAGTGCAAAGTTCACCAAAGGATCATTAGATAGATCAAGGAAAACTTACTTTAGTTCTGCAGTAACGTTGGTCAACCTTCATGAGTGTATGGAGTTTATTTTAAAAAATTAGTCCCTGTGAGTGTTGTCATCAAAGGAAATAAAAAATTGTGACGTTTCACAGTGCAGATTAATGCCATTCTACCTACTCTGGTTGCACTGCTGTAAAAGAAATATCCACTTAATCCTCTTCTCTGTCACTTTCTGTATACCTGCTAATGATTTTTCTTCTTCAAATAGCATGGATTTTGCTTCCACTTCTGTTTCTTTCTGGATATCCCATGCTCTAAATATCCCCTGCGTGCAATCAGAAATTCTCCTATACATTGATTTTGTCAAAGACCTTTCATGCATGCCTTCTATTCACAGCTTCATGGAACATTAGACATGGAAGTGTATTTTAATTTTCAAATTCCTTTGCGACCTTGGATGTTCCCACCAAAACTCATCGTAATGTACATGCCTCATAGCCGAAGATCGGGGCTGTGGTATCATGTAGCTGAATCTCTGTTAGACTCTCTCCATCATCTAAACATCTTTCTTAAATCCAAGGTGCCCAAAAGAGGATGAGATGTAGTAGACTTTTTTTTATATTCTACATAAACTTCTGCCAAATGAATGTTTCTCTTGAATAAAATGGAAATGAAATTCCTTAGGTGGTTTAGGATTGCTAGATTACTAGGGTAAAGGCAATATTACTGGATGATTAAATCAAAAGGCTCAGGCTAATGCTCTTGGAACGGGGGTTCAAATCTCACCATGGCAGATGGTGGAACTTGAATTAGGTTATTAAATCCAGAATATAAAACTGGTCCAGGTAATAGTGAACACAAAATTTATCATCGATTTTCTAAAGATCCACCTGGCTCACTAATCACAGAACAATGGAATCACAGAATTGCTACAACATAGAACAAGGCCCTTTGGCTCCTCTTTCCTGCACTGGTTCCTTAAAACAGTATCATTGTCCAGTCCTAATGTCCCCTTCCCTTGCACTTTTTTAAATCCAAATAACCATCCAATGCCCTATTGAATATCTCAATTGAAACTGTCTCCATCACACTACCAGGCAGTGTATTCCATACCCTAAACTACTCACTGAGTGAAGAAGGGTTTTGCTTGCTTCACCCTTGCTTCTTTTGCAGATCACTTCAAATCTATGCCGTTTTATCCTTATTTCTTTTTTGAGTGGGAACAGTTTCTCACTATCTATCCAGCCCATGATTTTGAAAACATCAATCAAATCTCCTCTTAGTTTTCTTCCTTCCAAGGAGAACAGTCCCATCTTCTTCAATCTAACCTGATAAATGAAGTTCCTCATCCTTGGAGCCATTCTTGGAATTCACTTCTGCTTTCTCTCCAATGTGTTTACATCCTATAATGTGGTGCACAGAACTGTACACAATAGTCCAACTGAGGTCTAACAAGTGTCTTGTTAGACAATCCATTGTTGTTGCACTCGATGCCCTTATTAACAAAGCCAAGGATGCTGTATGCTTTATTAATTGCTCTCTCTGAACCTGTCCTGCCATCTTCAATATTCTATGCACATCTATAATCAGGTCCCTCTGCTCCTGCATTCTCTCCAACGTGTTAACATCTTTCCTTTAATGAGGTGCCCAGAACTGTACACAATACTCCACCTACTAATGATTTTTAGCAAAGGAAATCTGCAGTCTTTACCCGGTCTGTCCTACATGTGACTCCAGAGGGACAGAAATACAGTTGAGTGTTAACTGGCCTCTCAAACGGTCCAGCATGCCATTCAGCTCCAGGGTAATTATGGATGGATAACAAATGCTGGCCTTACTAACGCTACCCACATCCCATGAAAAATAAAGAAAAATTATGGAAGAATAGAATGCATCTAGTTTACCTTTCACCATCTTGGCAGGGAAGGAAATCTGCCACCCCTACCTGGTCTGGCCTACGTGTGACTGCAGACCCACAGCAATGTGGTTCACTTTCAACTGCCCTCTCGGCAATTAGGGATTGGCAATAAATGCGGGCCTTGTCAGTGACATCCACATTCCCATGAATTAATAAGAAAATAAAATGGTAAATGGTGTAATGGACTAATTGTGGCAATTAAACTATCAAATTGTCCACAATAGACAGGCAGTGACACAGGAATGGCATCATCACAGGAAGCAGATGAGGCAAAGATCATCTTCTCAGTGAAAATTGGATAAAATTTGAAGCACAGCTAGCCACATGGCTATGAGGGAGAAATTTGAGCAAGTGGGATGAGTTTTGGATTGCTCTATTGGAGAGACAACACAGATTCAAGGGACCAAATGGTCTGTCCCAGTGCTGTAATACGCTCTAAATCCATGCAAATTGTTCAAAAATATTTAGCTTGAAGCTAGGTTTTTCAAACAAAGTAACAATGGTGTCTACATCCTGGCTAGGATATGCTCCACTATACCAACTGAAAATCAAAATCCTATTCTTTTAAAGACATCTGCCTTAGTGTGATGATAGCCAATCATCTAACCATTCTAAACATCTCTCCATTTTTATTTCCACAATGTTGGTGGAATAAAAATTGAGAAAAATATAAAGTAGGGGACTGATACTTGAGCACCTATTTTACCTGACTGCACAAAAACTCAAACTCTACTCCATTGAATTCATTTGGTTTTTACTGAGGAGCTCTTGTTTCCTTGCAAGTTCTGTTTGAAAGAGGTAACGAGCTTTCCAGCTCTCCTTGCAGATAGGCTCATTTTAAATGATATGCTATTAATTACCATCGATTCTGTGGCTGACTGAGTTACACAGGATTTGATAAGATCACATTTTGAGTTCTTTTAATGTTGCTCACCTGCGGGCCAAGGAAATGCCTGAGGTGGATCGGGGCATAACTCGACGGTAGAGTCCCCAGGTTCCATTACTGGTCTGCATTGAATTAACTAATCTAACGTAATGAATTAATAGAATTCCTGCTTTGAATCAATATTCCCAGACCCCCACCAGAGAAAATTAATGTGCATATGTCACAGATTATTTTAGTCAGTCTATCTTCACCAGAGGGATAGATCTAGTCTTTGTGGAACAGCATAAATCAAGTAAAAGCCAATCAGCAACTCCTTTAAAGTCAATAGAGGTAAGAATCTGGAGCAACGTAAAATGGGTGGCTGAATCACCATTATCAATCTTATACTACGAGGTAACTACATGATCTAACCCAAAGAGTGGACAAGAACAGAGATCAACTTTCTCTGCTGAACACACTAAAGTTGAGGGACAGAAAGATCGACTTACAATTGCATGGAACAACGAGTTTCCACTCAGTTCCAATTCCCCGCCATTTTCTCAAAACCCTTTAAAATTCACTTCACAAGAAACTATTTTGATTCCCTTTAAAAACTGTTGTGGATTTTGCATTGAATTTTCATGCCTTAACAATTCTCCATATAAAACAAAATATTACTTACTTTTTGGGGGGTGCTGATGATCTTATTATTAAAAAAGTAATACAAAATGTAGAACCAAAAAATTAGTCGTTCACAAATTTTGAAAATAAATCCTGCATAAATCCGGCATCCTCACAGCGCCAGAGACCCGGGTTCGATTCCACCCTCAAGCGATTGTCTGTGTGGAGTTTGCACATTCTCCCCATGTCTGCATGGGTTTCCTCCGGGTGCTCCAGTTTCCTGCCACAGTCCAAAGATGTGCAGGTCAGGTGGATTGGCCATGGGAAATTGCCCGTAGTGTTCAGGGATATGTAGCTTAGGTGGGTTATAGGGGGATTGATCTCGGTGGAATGTCTGAGGGACGGTGTGGACTTGTTGGGCCGAAGGGCCCGTTTCCACACTGTAGGGATTCTATGATTCTATGGATTCTATGATTCTATGATCTCATTCCTCATTATTCCTGTAACCTCAGTCTCTAACTCTGAGAAACCTATGCTCTTCTAGCTTGTCTCTCATACATCTCTTGTTCTAATTATTTACAGTTTTCTGGAGCCTCAGCTCTTGAATTCTGTCCCTAAGCTTCTCTCCCTCCTGCTCCTTTAAGAGCTTTCTTAAAACTTACCTCTTTATCCCAATCACTCTATCTAACAATTCTTCCTATTACTCAGTATCTGTCTTTGTTTGATTACACTCCTGTAAAATTCTTTCTGGTATTTTCCTACATTAGATTCTCTACATGTTACAAGTTGCTTTTGTAGCTTTTACTTCTCATGTTACTCCTTGCTGATGTCTGCTAAAAACACAACATCAAGTTCCACATTTATTTTGAATACCATCAGACTTATCTCAGCCCACAGCTCACTGGATCATTTCACAGTCTGGTATGTCACACAGCTAATCGACATCCAACATTGGATGAGCGGGAAGTTCCTTTGGCTAAATCTTGTGAAGACAAACCTTAGACCCCCACCACTAACCTATTTCCATCCATCATTTCCATCCTTGGAAACTATTTTAAGCTCAGGAAGACTGGTAGAAATCCTGGTGTAGTGTTGTCCCCAAAATGTGTTTCTGACCATATCTCTGTACCATCACATGACTTCCTACTGTCATCTTTAGCATCTCCCCGCTATGACACTGCCTCAGCTATCTATTGCTGAAACTCAACATCCATACTTTTATTTTGGCCCTACTACTCTACAGCTCATCTGGCAACCTTTCAATCTTCCACCCTACATAAACTTGACCTCATCCAACTATCTGCAGTCTGTATCTGAAATGGCTCCAAATCTCATTCATCCAACAACTTATTAATGTTCACTGGTTTTCCATCTGACAGTGCCTCAACTTCAAAATACTCAACTTTGATTTCAAATTGTTTCACTACCTTCCCATTCTCTACCTCTGTAATTTTCCCTGGTACAGAAAGCTTCCAAGTCTCTACACTCTTCCCATTCTAGCTTCAGAATTCATGATTTTAAACTCTCCACCGCTGGTGGCCATGCTATCAGTTGTCTGGCCTGAGAACCTCTTGAATTTTCTTCCTAAGCCTCTCCATCTCACTACAGCTCTATCTCTCTCTCTCTTTCTCCCTCTGTCCTTTATGTTAGGCTGCTCCTTAAAAACTTCCATGAAGCTTTTGGTCATTGTCCTTAAAAGCCCTTTCTGTAGGTCAGTATCAAAATTGTTCTGATGGATCTTATTCCTGATACATATAACAAAACATCCAGGGGTGTGTAAGCTGTTCTTGTTGTTTTGGTCCCATACTGGAGTGACATCTTGTGCACCAAGTCAAGGGACCACCTACCCTGTTCCATCTAGACCCTGCCAGAGGCAAAAAAACAACAACCTCATTAGGAAAGATCAAGTCTGCAAGTTGCCTCCCTTCTGCCTTAAGGTGATCAAGGCCACTCCAAGAGTCCACACTGATCATGATTCATGTAAATTAGTACCCACTTCTAACATGATGCAATCCCCATTCCAGCCAGGAACCAGCCAGAAAACGTAAACTCTGATTTTTCCTTCACAGATGCTGCCAGACCTGCTGAGCTTTTTCAGCAACTTATGTTTTGTTTCCAGCCAGGAACCAGTCCAGCTCTCTCTGGAAGACAGCATTTTAAGATGGTAACATGAATGTTAACATGGAGTGGATGTATCAGCAAGCTGTCCCCAACCCCTCACCAGACATGGGTTCTACCACTACAGACTAACATGCAAGAAGGAATATAATACATATACATAAAACTCTTAAACATGAAATTCCTGTAGCACCAAATAACCAAAGCCTGCAAATTATTCGTCAGGTCGTAGTCTGGCCAACGAATTACTAGTCCTGATTATTTAACAAGTTGAAGCAAGGTGTTTGATACGAGACCTGGAGAGGCCACGCCAGAGCTCAAGGAAAATTGTTCAAAGGTTGGAATTATGATACACTATGCAGGCAGTACATGTAATGCTCTTACCTACATTAGCATTGAGTGCTCTTTCACCTACCTTGCATGGAGCTCTGCCTTATCTGCATCACACTTGCTCTGCAGTTGAAGCATCTCCTTGACCTTATCACGGAGCTGCTGTTCAAGCCGTCCACTTTGTGCCGTGTGCTTCTCAAGCGTCGAGGTGGCACCCGCCTGACATAGGCGCAAGTTGGAGTCCAGACTATAGCAGGCTGTCTGCAGGCGCCGAGATGTGCGGGCGACATCAGCCTTCATCTCCAGGAGGCTCCTGAGCAGTTGGGTGCACGGGTGGGACAACAGACAGACTCTGGGTCATGGCAGGCTCATTACAGTATGAAGACAACCAGTGTCAGTGCTTGTCAAGATGTAGGAACAAAACCACAGACCACGTAGCTTGCTTTTCTCACTTTCCCACTTGGCTCAGAAAGTTTAACCATTGAGCAACAGACACAAACAACAACTGAGGGGATGGAGGGATCGGTTAATATGGAATGATTATGTGCATTTGCCATGTTCTCACTGGGAAAAAAAATGGTTCAGGAGCTTGTGATTGCTGTTTTTAGAACACTAAATGGATTGGATAATGCATAATAGTCTGTTTGAATTTGTCAGGCACAGCAGAATTAGAGAACACAGCCCATTATCAAAGTGGTGGTAAATTCGTAACTAATACGTGGAAACAATATTTTGATGAGCAAGCAGCAAATTAATAGAACAAATGTGTGCTAGGGAGATGGTGGAAGCATTTATTATCAAAACACTCAACAGTTCCCAAGGCTCGCCATCCCTGCCTTATGTCTGGATTTGTTATAAACTAACAAATGATGATGATTGCTACGATCAGTCCACAACTCCCTGATCGCTGTATCATGAAACTACCAGGTTGGGAAAAGAAAGCACAGTAGTTCTGTAGCACTTCTTATGAACACCAGATGTCTTAAAGTGCTCTAGCCAATGTTGGAGTAGTGACTGTTGTACTTTAGGAAAACAGCTGCCAATTTGCAGATAGCTAGCTCCAAAAATAACCATGTAGTAATGACAACAATCTGCTTTTTGTGACATTGATTGAGGGATCAATATTGACCAGGACATTGCAAGTTACTCCCCTAATGTTCACCAAAATAGTACCATGGGATCTATTACATCCAACTCTTGGGCCATACAAGGCTACAATTTAACAATTTATCTAAATCTAGACTTGTTGCTCCTGATTTTTATGTTCGAGTCTTAGAATAGGACCTGAGTTGGAACCCTCTGATCCAAAGGCAAGAGTGTAACCAACTGACCCACAGGATGATCTTGTTTGCTTTGTTTTCAGTCCAGCAACTTCTGTCAAAAAGGTGCCAAGTGCTTTTTCATGTAATGTGGACACCACCAACAAGGCCATCATGTGATACCCTTGACTAAAGTGGCTTGCTTGGCTGTTTCAGAGAGGAGTTAAGAAACAACTGCATCAGTGTGGCTATAGAGCTGCATGTAGGCCATCCCAGGTAAGGACAGCAGATTGTCTTCCCATTAGTGAGCCAGGTTTTTTACAATAATCAGTGGCCATGGTCGCCATTCATGAAATTAGCTTTATATTTCAGATATATTAATTGAATACAAACAACTGCCATGGTAGCATTTGAACCCTTGCCCCACCAGACCATTCACCTGGATTTATAGATTATTAGTCCAGTGAGAACACCACCATGCCACTGTTTCTTCATTTCAATGCTGAGTTGACTGAATGGGGCCATGAGTTGCCATTATTGGACTCGTTGCTTTAATAAAGGGGAGTACTCCCTCTTCCTTGCTGTGAGCATGCTCTAGCACCATCTATTGGCTTACGCGACTTACCGCTCTGTCCCGCTCTTCAAGTCAGCTAGGTTACTGCGGACTGTAGTCACCTGCTGCCAGAGGACCAGCAGTTTGCTACGTTCACCACAAGGGTGCAAGCCATAGTGCTGAAAAAAAGCAGGAGATAAAATGCAAAATTCTTCTTCTCTTCCTGACACATTACGCTTCTTTCAACCTTGCTCTTTAAAGGACGATTAACACCCGTATTTAAGAATGTGTAAGATGATTTGGTTCAGTTATACCGCGTAAAATCTGCTCTAAAATAAAAAAAAATGCTACCTTTAAAAGACTTCCTTAGCAGAACAGGTGGTGCAGCGTGCTACAGTTCATTCATGAAATCTGAGTCACTGCGGCAATTATACTCTTCCATGCCGGAGTTATGAAGAGTGAAGGTGGAGGTTTCAATTTTTTTTCCACCATGTGGCTGGCCAGGAATTGCTCCCGCTCTTAAATCCTGCCGTTGGCATTTGTTGGAAGCATTTGCAACTCTGTACTCAACCTGTTTGTTTGCATTATGTACACATCTGAGTTGGCCATCAATTCTCGGATTTGGGTCTAGAACCTGGAGTCTCTGGCTCAGAGACATGGCCCACTGAGCCACAAGGCCACTGAGAAAAACAGAAAGTTTTGGACAGAATATTCTGCCCATCTGGGTAAACAACTGAAACAGCTAACAAAAAAAAACTGAAAAGAACTGCGGATGCTGGAAACCTGAAACAAAAACAGAAGTTGCTGGAAAATCTCAGCAGGTCTGGCAGCATCTGTAGAGGCTGCCAGACCTGCTGAGATTTTCCAGAAATGTCTGTTTTTTGTGACTCAAACAGTTATACATGCTCGAGGATGGGAGTATGGGTGAGATCATGCTGCTGTCTAATCAAAATACTGCATTTGTAATAGTTCAGTAAATGCTAACACTCTTGCTGCTGATTGGTCAGCTAAGCAGAATGGATGGTAATGTATTTCTTGAATGGAGTTAGCTAGTGTCCCCGATGACAGGGCCATTGTCCTAGGGACTGGTGCGGTATTGATAGTCCATAGCTTCCCTGAAATGCCACGTTAGCCAGTGACTGTTGGACAAGAGAAGTCTAGGGCTGATCTATTGGATGTGGTGGTTAAGTTGAGCATTTATTTTAAATGATAGTTGACTTGTCCTGATCACCATGTTTGAAGCAGGTTCTCAAGTCCAATATGTAGTCTGCATAATATTCCCCCAACGTAGACAGATCACCCTTCCACAATGAAACCACTCAACAACCAGAGGAAGGGTTCCTTCATTCAGACCCTTCAATTGATATAGCTATTGCAGAGCAGAGCAATGAAACACCAACTGGTTAGCAAGGTTAGATCACATGGAATCCAGGGAGAGCTCGCCATTTGGATGCAAAATTTGTTTGAATGTATGAGACAGAGGGTAGTGGTGGAGAGCTATTTTCCAGACCGGAGGCCTGTGACCAACAGTGTGCCACAAGGATTGGCAGTGGGTCCAATGCTTTTTGTCATTTGTAGAAATGATTTGGATGGCAATACGGGGAGGTATGGTTAGTAAGTTTGCAGATGACACCAAAATTGGTGGTGTAGTTGCCAGTGAAGAAGGTTGTCTCAGAGTACAATCGGACCTTGATCAGAGGGGCCAATGGGCCAAGGAGTGACAGATGGAGTTTTATTTAGATAAATGTGAAGTGCTGCATTTTGGTGAGGCAAATCAGAGTAGGACTTACACAATTAATGATAGGGTCCTGGGGAGCGTTGTCAAAAATGAGACCATGGGGTGCAGGTTCATAGTTCCTTGAAGGTTGAGTCACAGGGAAACAGGGTAGTGAAGGCAGCTTTGGTACACTTGCCTTTATTCATCAGTGCATTGAGTGTAGGAGTTGGGAGGTCATGTTGTGTCTGTACAGGACATTGGTTAGGCCATTTTGAAATACTGCAATCAATTCTAGTCTCCCTGATGTTGTTAAACTTGAAAGCGTTCAGAAAAGACTTAGAAGGATGTTGTCAGGGTTGGTGGGTTTGAGCTAAAGGGAGAGGCTGAATAGACTGGGGCTATTTTTCCTGGAGCATCAGAGACTGACATATTCATGGAAAGCCGAATAAACAGCTCTTCAGCCAGCTTAATCTTCAATCTAGAGTCTGGCTTCAACATGTCAATGAAAGTTTATCATGTGGCTTCATGACGACAAATTTACTTTGACCTATAATGCCACTACTATTGCTGAATCCCCCATTACCAACATACTGGGTGCTACAATTGACCTGAAATGCAACCAGACTAGCCAATATCAATACTACAGCTATAAGAGGCTAGTAATCCTGCAGCATCCTGTAACTCACTACCGGACTCCCCAGTATCCACCATCTATAAGGCACAATTTAGGAGTATGATGGAAAATTCCCCATTTGCAGAATGAGGGCAGCTCCAACAACACAAGCAGCTTGATACCATTCAGGACAAAACACTCAAACCTCAGCCATTCATTCCCTTCACTACCTACGCTCAGCAGCAGAATGTGTACCATCAATAAGTTGCACAGTTGAAAAACAATGATGTTTCTTAGCGCTTTCCAAACCCACAAATTTTGCCATCAAAAAGGCAGATACATGGGAATACTAGCAACTGCAAGTTCTTCTCCGAGCCACTCACTCTTCTGACTTGGAAATATATCACCTTTCCTTCACTGTCACTAGGTCAAAATCCTGGAATCCTTCCCTATTGGCATTGAACATCTACCTACAACAAAAGGACTGCAGCAGTTCAAGAAGTTATACAGGGCCTTGGTGAGATCACATCTTGAGTATTGTGAGCAGTTTAGGTCTCCCAGTCTGAGGAAGGACATTCTTGCTATCGACGGGGTCCAGTGAAGGGTCACCAGTCTGATTCCCGGGATGGCGGGACTGACAAACGAGGAAAGACTGAATCGACTGGAATTTAGAATAATCGGAAGTGGAGAGTGTTTGGATCTTATAGAAACATCTAAAATAAAATAAAATAAAAATAAAATAAAATAAAACATATAAAATCCAGATGGGACTGGACAGGCTAGATGGAGGAAGAGTATTCCAGATGTTGGGGAAGTCTAGAACGAGGGGTCACAGTCTAAGAATAAGGGGTAAGCCATTCAGGCGAAGATAAGGAAGAATTTCTTCACTCAGAGAGTTGTGAACCTGTGGAATTCTCTATGACAGAAAGTTGCTGGTGTCAGCTCGTTAGATACATTCAAGAGGGAGCTGGATGTGGCCCTTGCGGCTAAAGGGATCAAGGGGAATGGAGAGAATGCAGGATGCTGAAATAGCTTGATCAGCTATGATCACATTGAATGGTGGCGCAGGCTCGAAGGGCTGAATGGCCTACTCCTGCGCCTATTTTCTATGTTTCTCTTTCTGAAGGGCAACCAGGAGTGGCCAATAAATCCTGGTCCAGCCAGTGACGCCCACATTCCATGAATATACTTTTTATTAAAAATAAGCCCCTTATAATAGCTGAACAATCAACATTCAAGTACTCATTTTACCATAGAGATGGAACAACATCCCATCCCATTTTGTGATGTTCCCTTCACCAAGTTTCACAGTGGCATACCAAAAATCAAATATGCAGCAAAGTGGCTCAGTGGTTATCACTCCTGCCTCACAGCAACAGGGAACCGGTTCGATTCCACCCTCGGGTGACTGTCTGTGTGGAGTTTGCACATTCTCCCCATGTCTGCGTGGATTTCCTCCGGGTGCTCCGGTTTCCTCCCACAGTCCAAAGTTGTGCAGCTTAGGTAGATGGCCATGCTAAATTGCCCATAGTGTCCAGGGAGGTGCAGGCTAGGTAGGTTAGCCATGGGAAATAAAGAGAGATGGTAGGGGGTGGGTCTGGATGGGATGCTCTTTGGAGGGTCAGTGTGGACTGGATGGGCTGAATGGCCTGTTTCCACTAAAAACTACACACAGCAGCACATATATCCAAGTCAGTAAACATCAAAATCCAATACAAATCATCTAAAGAAGTTCCATCCTTCACACCAATAAAGACAAAACCTTTCTCACAATAAACCTATTGATTTTATAGCACACCATGCGATCTTGAACTCATCTATATGGGAAAACAGGCTGTAAGCCTACACATTAGAATCAGGGAGCAATCTGATTCAGGCACAGTGACTGAGACAAATCAGGTACTGTCACTGAACAAAAATCAAAGTGCGGATGCTGGAAATCTGAAACCACTGGCAGCATCTGTGGAAAGAAAATAGGGTCAATGTTTCATTCCTTCTTCAAACCTTTCATTATCTAGAACAGTACCTCTCACTTGTTCCATTCCTGCCTCCAGACAACAGACAGAGGATGCTACCTGGAATGTTGAAGTCTACCAGTTCTTCAGAATCCTTTTAAAGCAACAGCTGGTCTCTTCAAAGCAATTTTTTACATGGTGTAACTGCAAAAGTTCGCTTACTTTGTTGAAGTCACTTTAACAGGAATGCATTGAAAGCCATTAAACTGATGTCAACACAGGAAAATATTGAGCAGGTAAAGGTGGGAAAGCTTGTGATTTCATTCTGTATTTGAGACCAGTGTGGTGAATTTACCCAAGTGTGATTTTCTGACCTCTACTCAACTTCTGATGAGCATGGGTGACCAGTAGAAATTTGCTCCAAAGTGATACCTAAGGACAAGTTTTATAAAGATGTGCTTCCTGCAAGAAGCCAAGACCATTGTCAGCATATGTTGGAAAATCACAGGCATATTTACCACCTATGTACGTTTGCCAGGAATCTTTCACCCTCATTTCAGACTTATTAAAAAGTCCCAGAGGATTATTCACCAGGAGGGATTGTAAGTATCACTTTTCCTTTTGGAGCATGGAGGAGTGTGGAAGGATTATTAAACTGAGGGAAAAAAAACAAAGCTGGGTGAAAGGGTGGACTGAGAAGACGACATGGAGATGGTTCAGTGTGATTTGGACACTTTAAGTCAGTGGCCGATAAAGTATAATATGGATAAATATGATGTTATCCATTTTTTGTAGTAAAAACAGAAAGGCAAATTATTATATGAATGGTGATAGAATGGGAAAGGGGCAGGTTTCTTGTATACCAGTTTCTGAAAGTTAGCTTGTGGATGCAGCAGATGGTGAAGAAGACAAATGGTATGTTGACCTTCATTATGAAGGGATTTGATTACAGGGTAGTGATATCTTGCTGTAATTGTACAAGGCTTTGGTGAGACCAAAGTATTGTGTGCAATTTTGGTCTCCTTATTCAAGGAAGGATGATCCGGCTGTGGAGGGAGCACTGCAAAAGATTTACCAGATTGACTCCTAGGATGGCAGGACTGACATATCAAAAGAGACTGGATTGTTAGCACTATGTTCACAAGAGTTTAGAAGAATGATATGGGGAGAAGATGAGAAACCTATAAAATTCTAACAGGACTCGGTTAGCTAAATGCGGAACCGGGGTGTCACTGCCTAAGGATACAGGGTAGGACTGAGATGAGGAGAAATGTCTTCACCCAGAGAGTGGTGAGCCTGTGAATTATTTGCCACAGAAAGCAGCTGAGGAAAAACGTTGATTGTTTCCAAGAAGGAGTTGGATATAGTTCTTACGGCTAAAGAGATCAAAGGGAATAGGGAGAAAGTGGGAATAGGGCACTGAGTTAGATGATCAGCCGTAATCATATTGAATGGCAGAGCAGGCTCATGGGCCGAATGGCCTACTCCTGCTCCTACTTTCTGCGTTTCTATGATGACCAACTTTTCATGGGGTGAAGAAGTGGCAAGGAGTAATTGAAAATATCTTGTTGCTGCCACAGGAAATGCTCTGAAGTCTGAGCTTGAGGCATGCTTTTGTGGCTGCATGAAGATAAAGGTTTTCCTGCAGCAATCACTGTGACATTAGCAGCAGGAACAGGAAAGTGTTCCATTCCTCATTACTTTCATCCATCAATGAGTCTAACATAAAACTCTTAGGGGGACAAAAGGAAGGAACTAGCTCGAGTTCACAGTGTGGTTCCTCTTTATGTGGCAACACAGGTTATCATAGCAGCATTTTTGCATTGTGACTGATATGACTGCACAACAGAATTGCATGTAAGTGAAGCATTATATCACGGACTAGTTCCAGAACTGATAACTACCTCCTGGTCCCACCGCTGCTTCATTTCCCTCCGCTCCAGTTCATTCCTAGCTATGTCAAAATCAACTGTGATCTTGTGGATGTCCTCGCTAAGCCGCTGATTGGCTGTGTTGGCTTGTTCCAGTTGATCCCGCAACATGGCATTAACTTGGGATAGACTGCTGCTTCTGTTTGAGAGAAATTAAACTGGATCAGATTCTTTACTGAACTGAACCCAAATCACATTCTGTAGCGAACCTGGTGATGCTCTGCACTGGTTAGATGTCCTTTTAATTTCACATGATTTATCTGAGTTTGGTTATGTAATTTTCCCATACACCCAGGATTATTCCTACAGATAGGTACTTCATTTGCCTCCTACTGAAATGGGAACTGATCATCATCCTCTAATCCATTTGCTTCAAGTCTTTACTCAATTCTTTGAATTTAGCTCTTTCAAAGTTATAAAAGTGGTTGCTAGTGTTTTGTGGAATTGTTTCATAGGCTGTATTAAATGTTATCACTCTGATTTTCATTTCCTATTCATTATCTGAGTTGTTTACCTATACAAGGTCAAGCTGGACATGGCTTCACATTGCTTCTCTTAAGAACTGATTCAATGCTTCTGCTGCTCACTGGCTTGTGGTGATAGTGTGATTGTCTTACATACAATGAAAGCAACATGGAGGCTCAGTGGTTAGCACTGCTTCTTCACAGTGCCAGGGACCTGGTTGTGATTCCAGCCTTGGCGACTGTCTGTATTGAGTTTACGCATTCTCCACGTGACCCCGATGGGTTGCTCCGGTTTCCTCCCACAGTCCAAAAATGTGCAGGTCAGGTGGATTGGCCATGCTAAGTTGCCCATAATGTCCATGACCCATGGCCCTCCGGAACCTACCTCTCCTCCCCTTCCCTCTGACTCTATCCCCTCCCCCAACACCCCCATCTCCTGTCGTGTATTCACAATTCCTCCTAACCTTCCACTCTCCGATGCTGAACGCTCTGTACTCAGCAAAGGCCTCAGCTTTATCCCTCTGCGTCCCCACCTTAACGAATTTCGGGCACGACATGACACCGAACTGTTCTTCCGCCATCTTCACCTCCGTGCTCATTTCTTTGGACAAGAGTCCTCTCCCCGTCCCACAGACGCCTTTGCCCAACTCCAACACTCTCCCTCCACCTGGACCCCTCCCTCCGGCCTTTTACCTGCACTCGATCCTTTCATTGAAAACTGTCGACGTGACATCAGTCGCCTCAATTTCACTGCCCCTCTCAACAAATCCAACCTATCTCGCTCCGAACTGACTGCACTCTGTGCACTCAGATCTAACCCTGACTTTGTCATCGAGCCTGCCGATAAGGGTGGTGCAGTCTGGAGTACTGACCTCTACCTTGCAGAGGCTGAGCGCCAGCTCTCAGATACCTCCTCCTATCTTCCCCTGGACCATGACCCCACCATGGCACATCAGGCCATTGTATCCACTACGGTTATGGATCTCATTTCATCCGGTGATCTCCCCCCCTCCACTTCCAAGCTAATAGTCCCCCAGCCCCGCATAGCTCATTTCTACCTCCTGCCAAAAATCCACAAACAGGACTGTCCAGGTAGACCCATTGTTTCAGCCTGCTCATGCCCCACAGAACTCAACTCTTCCTACCTTGACTCAGTCTTCTCCCCCCTGGTCCAATCCCTACCCACATACATCCGTGATTCATCTGACACCTTATGCCGGTTTCAAAGCTTCCAGTTTACCGGCTCCAGCCACCTCCTCTTTACCATGGATGTGCAATCCCTTTACACATCCATTCCCCACCAGGGGGGTCTTAGGGCTCTCCGCTTCTTCCTGGAGCAAAGACCTGAACCATCCCCACCCACCACCACCCTCCTCCGCTTGGCTGAGCTTGTCCTCACCCTCAACAACTTCTCTTTCAACTCCTCTCATTTTCTTCAGGGAAGAGGGATTGCCATGGGTACCCGCATGGGCCCTAGTTATGCCTGTCTCTTCGTGGGGTACGTGGAACATTCCTTGTTCCAGTCCTATTCCGGCCCCCACCCACAACTCTTTCTCCGATACATCAATGATATCATCGGTGCTGCTTCCCTCTCTCGTCTAGAATTGGAAAACTTCATCAATTTCGCCTCCAATTTCCACCCTGCCCTCACTTTCATCTGGTCTATTTCTGACTGCTCCCTTCCCTTCCTCGACATTTCTGTTTCCATTTCTGGGGATAGACTGGCCACTAATATCCATTACAAACCCACTGACTCCCACAGCTACCTGGACTATACATCCTCACACCCCACTTCCTGTAAAGTATCCATCCCATTTTCTCAGTTCCTCCATCGCCATCGCATATGTTCAGATGTGGCCAACTTCAACAAGGGAGCCTCCGAAATGTCCACATTCTTCCTCAACCGAAGATTCCCCAGCTCCGTTGTCGACAGGGCCCTCAATCGGGTCCGACCCATCTCCTGCACTTCAGCCCTCATCCCTTCTCTTCCCTCCCGCAACAGCGATAGGGTTCCCCTTATCCTCACCTACCATCCCACCAGCATCCACATCCAGAAGATCATCAGACGCCATTTCCGCCAACTCCAGCAAGATGCCGCCACCAGACACATATTCCCCTCCCCTCCCTTGTCCGCCTTCCGCAGGGACCGTTCCCTCCGGGACACCCTGGTCCACACTTCCTTCACCCCCAACACCTCCCCACAGCCCTACGGCACCTTCCCCTGTAACCGGCGAAGGTGCAACACTGTCCATTTACCTCCTCCCTCCCCACTATCCAAGGGCCCAAACATACCTTCCAGGTGAAGCAACACTTCACCTGCACTTCCAAGAATCTAGTCTACTGCATTCGCTGCTCACAATGTGGTCTCCTCTACATTGGGGAAACGAAGCGTAGACTTGGTGACCGCTTCGCAGAACATCTACGTTCTGCTCACAAAAAAGACCCTGAATTACCTGTTGCCTGCAACTTCAACGCACCACCCTGCTCCCTGGCCAACGTGTCTGTCTCCGGCTTGCTACAGTGTTCCAGTGAAGCCCAACGCAAGCTGGAGGAACAACACCTCATTTTCCACTTGGGGATCCTACAGCCCTCCGGACTCAATATTGAGTTCAATAATTTTAGGGCCTAAACTCTCCCATATCCCAGCCCCCTACCCCACACACCAGGCCTTGTTACCACATAGCCTGCCACTACACACCCCCTGTTGTTAGTCACTAACAGTCCCCATTAACAACTATTCACCCTCCCAGCCTGATCGTTAGCAACTCCTTTGTCTGTCCAACTGTCTTTCTCTCTCTTTGGGCTCTATCTTATCATTTACTGCCTACCCCACCCACCTCCCTATTTTCTGCATATAAACTGACGTTTTCCCAGCCACCACCAGTTCTGAAGAAGGGTCACCGGACCCGAAACGTTAACTCTGTTTTGTCCTCCACAGATGCTGCCAGACCTGCTGAGCTTTTCCAGCAACTTTGTTTTTGTTCCTGATTTACAGCATCCGCAGTTCTTTTGGTTTTTATTATGTCCATGATTGTGCAGGCTATGTGGATTAGCCATGGGAAATACAGAGTTATAAGGATATGGCAGGGTGCATCTGGGTGGGATGCCCTGCAGAGGGGCAGTGTGGACTTGATGGGCCAAATGGCCTGCATCCGCAGTGTAGGGATTCTGTGATTCACTTTTTCCTTTTCATTCAATCTTCCAATTATTTTATGCTACTTTGTCGTATACTTTTTTTTCCCTTAAATGAAGACCATCTCACCTCATCTTAAGCTTCTGCTGAAGCTCTGACAGTCAAATGCTGGAGACAGCAGACTATGGCCTGGTTTGGCTCAATCTCTGACTGTCTCTATCATACATTGTCATTTTCAAGGGGAGTTCTGCCCTGTGCCTGGGATATGTGAAACAACAAAACTGTGTAGGCTCTTGAAAGGGATGCTACAGATTGTGTTGAGTCATAGAAGGATGAGATTGGTGATTGTGCCAATTTGAGGAGGGTGGGGTGTAGTAACTGTAAAAATCAAAGTGGAAAATACTGATTTTGCTGAGGTTTAAGATTGCGTTATGGACAAATTGCAAGTTTTCAAAATAGTCTTTCTCGTTAATCTCACCAACTGTTCACAAGTAAATTTTAATTTAAACCTTTTTATTGAAACAGTAGAGGCATATTTCCCCATCTCCCTATGTTTTTGGACTCTAATGTTGTAATTACAGCAAGCAACATGTTATAAAGTTAAACCAGAGATGGAGTTTATTTTCACATGCTATTAGTTGTGGGAGGTGGGGGTATTTTTGCACACAGGTACCCTTGCAAACATACATGGAGAGATCAAATTGGAAAAGATAAAGAAATTATTCTATTAGCAACAGCTTAGATACAAAACAACCAAGGGATCTGAATTCATCAATTCCCTTGCCTTTAAGGTGGATTGCAATAGTCCAAACCTGGAGTGAGTAGTCTGGAATCCAATGTGAGGATGGTTGAGACAACAAGGTGCAGGGCTGGATGAACACAGCAGGCCAAGCAGCATCATAGGAGCAGACAGGCTGACGTTTCGGGCCTAGACCCTTCATCTGAAAAGGGGGAGGGGAAGGGGGTTCTGAAATAAATAGGGAGAGAGTGGGAGGCGGATAGAAGATGGATAGAGGAGAGGATAGGTGGAGAGGAAACAAACAGGTCGAAGAGGCGGGGATGGAGCCAGTAAAGGTGAGTTTGGTGGGGAGTTAGGAAGGGGATAGGTCAGTCCAGGGAGGATGGACAGGTCAAGGGGGCGGGATGAGGTTGGTCGGTAGGAGATGGAGGTGCGGCTTGAGGTGGGAGGAGGGGATAGGTGGGAGGAAGAACAAGTTAGGGAGGCAGGGACGAGCTGGACTGGTTTTGGGATGCAGTGGGGGAGGGGAGATTTTGAAACTTGTGAAATCCATATTGATACCATTGGGCTGCAGGGTTCCCAAGCGGAATATGAGTTGCTGTTCCTGCAACCTTCGGGTGGCATCGTTGTGGCACTGCAGGAGGCCCAGGATGGACATGTCGTCTGAGGAATGGGAGGGGGAGTTGAAATGGTTCGCGACTGGGAGGTGCAGTTGTTTATTGCGAACCGAGCGTAGGTGTTCTGCAAAGCGGTCCCCGAGTCTCCGCTTGGTTTCCCCGATGTAGAGGAAGCCACACCGGGTA